GAAGGCGATAATGATGCAGAAAAAAAATCATTATTTTGTTAATAGCATTCTAATCGAGACACGAGTTGTTGTAGAACTCTGTGTCTGGATATCGGAAACCACAAGAAAAATTTCTAGAATCATTATCACTAAATTTAATCACCAATTATACTGTCAAAAATGAAAAGGCTACGAAGAGCCAGAATGAAGATAATGGAAATCCATCGCCTTTACCCGTAATCATTTATTATTGAGACTGTCTCTATGGAAATAAATTACTGCTGCTGGCAATATGGTTATTAGTAAGGTGACTAGTTTCTTTACAATGAAAAGGAGGACGCTCGAGCACGAAAAACTTAAGAAAAAGTTACAACGTAAATATATGAAACATTTTGTGAATTCAAATAAAAATATGCTAATTACTCTTGCATTTCTTTTAATTATTTACTTAAACGAGTATTTCCCAATTGGATAATTTTTTTGTCAATATATTATTTTCTAACACATTGGAAATTTCGGAGCAAAATATATTCTCCATACTAAATTTTACGGTAAGTACTGCAGCTAAAATATCATTATTCAATCTTGATTTCTCACTTGCCCAAAAATCATTACTAACTGAAAAAACTCTTCCTACTGCTACACTAGTTCCAAGGCAGCACAACGTAAATTCATCAAGAATAACTAAATTATCATATGGAAAGTTTTTATTTTTAAAATGGTTACGTATTTCCTTCCATTTTTGATCAATTCCAGCATGCTAATTTTATATTATTACAATTTAAATATACATTCAATCTTCTAATTTCTTCAAACAAACAATTGTCATCGATTTTAATAGTAGGCATATCTTTCGATAAAAACTCAACACAATTTTCTATATCTGCCCAGTTTACTTGCGATGAAGACAAAAAGCACCATTGAAGACTTATTTCCTGTTATATTTGTTTCAGATCATTCTTCGACATATTGGAAACATGTTTGGTTGATCTCTAAATAGAGATCAACAGATCAGTTTTTAAAACATTGAAAGGAGGACACTTTTCGAGGAAGGACAGAACCTATAAAAGGAGGACTGTCCTCCCCAAAGGGGGACGGTTGATCACATTATTAGTACTAAGGTGACCAATTTTTCTATTATATATTTCCTGTTATATTTGTTTCAGATCATTCTTCACATATTGGAAACATGGTTGGTTCATCTCTAAATAGAGATTAACAGATAAGTTTTTTAAAATATTGAAAGGAGGGGAGGACACTTTTCGAGAAAGGACAGAACCTATAAAAGGAGGACTGTCCTCCCCAAAGGGGGACGGTTGGTCACGTTATTATTAGTAATAAGGTGACCAATTTTTTTACAATGAAAAGGAGGACGAAAAATTTAATAAAAAGTTACAAAGTAAATATACGAAACATTTTATAAATTCAAAAAATTAATGCACTAATTGTGCCTACATCCCTTTTAATTACTTACTTAAACGAATATTTTTCCATTAAATGATTTTTTTTTTTGTCAGTATATTATTTTCTAATATATCGGAAATTTGGGAGCAAGAAATATCCTTCATCATGAATTTTACGGTAAGTGCTATAGTTATATATAAAGTATCAACATTCAACCTTGATTTTTCACTTATGCAAAAATCATAACCAATTGAAAAAAAATATTTTTTAACTACTGCATTAGTTCCAAGGCAGCACAATGTAAATTCAACAAGAAAAGCTTAATTTTCATGTGGAATGTGTTCATTTTTGAAATTATTAAATATTTCCATCTATCTTTTATCAATTCCAGCACGTTGATTTGCCCATTGTTCTAATTTACTAGCATTTAAATATATATTCAGTCTTCTAATTTCTCCAAACAGACAATTGTTATCGATTTTAATATCAGGCATTTTCTTTCGATAAAAACTCAACTAAATTTTTAATATCTGCACAATTTACTTGTAATGAAGCCAAAAAACACCATAGGAAACTGTTATTTCCTGTGATATTTGTTTCAGACCATTCTTCGACATATCGGAAACATGTTTGGTAACAATTTTGCACTTTGTTGGTAAACTCTTCCGTTATACCCAGATTTGATTTTTCTAAGTTTGACAATTCTCTTTTTATTAAAAGAATAAAGCATTTCTTCAAATCGTGATTTTTATTGGACAAAAGCGTTCAAAATAAGACTAACTTCTGTAGCTGAAATATGATCACCATCAATCTTTTGAATCGTTTTGTGGAAAATAGATGCCTGATTATGTACAAATGCATTAATATGTCCAATAATTCATACTGTACCGGTACATGACGTGTAACAGTTCGATCTAGCACCTCTGAATACAAAGATTAGCAGATTAGTATTAAATTATTGAAAAGGAGGACAAGTAGGAGGACACTTTTCGACGAAGGATAGAACCTAAAAAAGAAGGACTATCCTCCCCAAAGAAGAACGATTGGTCACCTTAGTATTTGAGAACAAATACTGTATACATATCGCCTACTTAAGGTATCCGACTACGTTCGGAACCGTAATTTTAAAAAAGCGCCTAAATGGATAATTTTCATGATATTTAATGTCACTTAGATTAGAATACATATATAAAATTGTTTTAAAGAAAAAAAAATTATTTAAATACAATATTTCGGCAAAAAATTAACTAAGTATAACCTTTTTTCAAAATGTTCTCCTTTTGTGAAAAATGCTTCTATTATAATAATATTTTGCCTGTATATAGCTCAGACCTCTGTACAGAGGCTCAACTATGATTTTTGAAAAATTCACATTATTTTCACAGTTACCTCCAATTGAAATAATTATCAGCGTATTTTCTTAAAATTTCTCCCTTCTGTTTTCGTAAAACATGGATAAACTGACTTCCAAGTTATGCATTTCAAAAATTCTAGTTGAGCCTTTGTACAGAGGTCTGAGCTGAATACAGGCAAAATATCAATACACAATAGAAGCATTTTTTACAAAAGGAGAATATTTTGAAAATGGGTCATTCTATGTTCATTTTTTGTCAAAATATTGTACTTAAATAATTTTTCATTATAATACTATTCTTAAAGCAATTTTATATACATTTTCTAATCTAAGTGACACTAAATATCATAAATATTAACCATTTATAGGCCTTTTCAAAATCACGGTTCCGAACGTAGTCGGATATCTTAAAAGAGTTGCAAGTACTTTTACATAGGAACCTAGGACTTCAAGAAGTCTTAAGACATTACTGAATGTGGTAATAATAGAAATTATCAAGTAAAAAAAGTTGTATTGATTGGAAACTAAAATCGAATATAGCCTTTAGTCTGACTTTTGAAAGTAAGACATACGAAAGGTATTGAAATTAATTAATAATTCAATTTTTGGTTATTTAAAAGCATAAATAATTTTATAAAATTATTAATATTTCTGAAAATAAAATATCAAATAAAATTAGATATTTTATTTTTATTATAACTTTTTTGAAATTTTAATTTTCCTCGTTTTTTTTTAATGTATAAACATTCAATATTCTGTATTTATTTGTAGTATTCTGTATTGTATGTTGTCGCCAATAGCACCAACTTATCGAGATTTGCGCCGTCAAAACGGAAATATTCTAAAAATTCCTTATTTTTCAAAAATTTATTCACTCCAATCATCAACGATTTTTAATATACTGTTGAACTCACCGAGTCCACAAAAATGGTTTGTTACAATAAAATTGAATTTTGGAACAAGATCTGTAGAAAATTACGTATCAATTTATTCGTTATGAGAATAATCATGAAACTTAGCAAGAAAGAAACGGAAGAATTCCCAATTATTAAAATTGGGTTGGGAGGGGTGGGAGCACTTAGTTCTTTCGAAACTTTATTTTACTTCATGACAGTTTGATGACTTTAAACATGCTTTCAAATTGCCCCTTTTTAGAAAATATTATTACTGGATTTTAAAAAAAAATACTATTGTAGATTAAAATAATATAAGAATTATATTTGTGTGATAAAAATTGCATTTACAGTTCAAGCTTAAAAATGAATGAAAAAATTTTGACTTAGAACACAATTATTGATTCAATATTATAAGAAATTTACTTGCCAAATTCGACTAAATGCTTTTCCATTGGTAACGTATTGAAAAAATAAATGGTGAAAGAATTTTCTGAATTCATTAGTTAAATTCTGGAAGAATAATTATTGAACTTTTATTTCAGGAGTCAATTATCTGACGGGGGGATGGAAGCAGAGATGAATTCAACGTTATTCCATTGAAACTGCGTTATCCAATTTCAAGGAAAATTACAGAAATAAATATTAGTTTCCATGCGTGTGTATTTGTCAACTACGGTTTCATATAGTTAGATCGATGTCTGCGATAAACGGCTTACGTCATGTATACGGATATTCCACACATCAATTATTACATAATCTACCTACTGTCTCGTCTGAAACTATTTCCTAATTTTACCAAATCTATTGACAATGAAATAGTTTAAAATTTTAATTCTATCTTATTCAATAAAAATATAGACAGAAGGGAAAGTGAAATACCATAAAGTAAATTATTCAGTAGATTTTTTTATGTTAGTTCTTTGTATTGATACTGGTGATATTTTGGATGTCATGTTTTTCGGTTTCTCAAGTTTTAAATAATCAATAATTCTCGCCGCTAAAGTTATGACCAAGCAATTATTAAAGTATAAGGAAATATATTTTTGGATTTAATTATCCATCATATATAAACAAGTAATATAAAAAAAGTGTTTAAGTCCATTCCTACTTAGGTCAACAAAGAAAAATTTTACTTTTGTACGTTTTATTAAATAATTACAATTAATATATAAATATTTATCTACATATGACGGAATCACAATATTAAGTGGCAAAATAGAAAGTGATTTTCCATGCAATTGTCCATTTTCCTTTCCATATAGGATGTTGGACTATTATTTTTGTTTGTAACTATTTATTCATCAATTAAATTTAATTATTCTAAAAAATAGTGTAACAAAAAGAAAACACATTCTCAGAAATTAGACCATCCCAGGTGGGATTCCACCTCACGACTCTGGTTTAGAACTCCAACGCGCTATCCATTGCGCTACAGGGACACAATGACCAATTTTCCTTTTCATATATAGTGTTGGACTATTATTTTTGTTTGTTACTATGTATTCATTAATTAAATAGAATTGATCAATTGATATTTGAAAAAACTGCATTAACATCAGGGAGAGTGTAAACTAATAGTAGGAATTGAAAAATAAAAAATTTTATGTATATTTTATTGCAATTATGTTCTTTTATAGGAAGAACTACTTATTATTCATATGTTCGTAATAAATAAGGAGATTTTACATTAATTGCAAGAGTTTTTCTCTCATTGAGGTTGTATACAAAGCTTTCAGTTATACTCGACCTTCGTGAATACAGAATTTCGAATATTTCTATATTCATTTAAAATGATACTCTATCGCGAAACGGTATAAATATGAGGTAATAACGTAGTATTAAAAAATGTGAATCGATAGTTTTGGTGAAAAGATTATACAAACTGTAGATCAAAATCCATAAGATATATGACTTTTTCATAACTTGAAGATATTTTTTGCAAATGAAAACTAAAATTTATAAAATGCATGACATTTTTTTTTCTTTATACACCGTTTAATCTACTTCATACTTAATATATATACAAAAATTAACTACTTCATACTTAATATATACACAAAAATTAATCTACTTCATACTTAATATATATACAAAAATTAACTACTTCATACTTAATATATATACAAAAATTAATCTACCTCATACTTAATATATATACAAAAATTAATCTACCTCATACTTAATATATATACAAAAAATTAATACTAACACATACAAATAAACTCCAAATACAGATGTTTCAGGAAAACGTTAAACTTTTTAACATGAATCTCTTCTTTACGTAAAAATAAATTCTGAAAATTAATGTATATAATGATTTGTTTTCCCTTCGGCCGAAAAAAAAATTATTTCCTCCTATATATATATTTCTTTTTTAAACTTATTTTAGGACTTCTGGATCTCATTTATACATTATTAACTAATTTCATAATTTGACCTTGAAATTATTTAATGAAATGTAGAATTGTATAATTTTACCATTTCTCCCGTAAAAATTTCAATTATCCTGTTTTTAGTTTTAAGTAACAACAGAAATATCCACAATACAATAATAATAATAATATGAATTTTATTCTTCGTTAATTATATCATAGATTTGTATAAAATATTTTTCAGTAAAAATTAGTTTTTCTTCTCCTTTCATTTTTTTTTTCCGTGAACCGTTTTTCTAAGAGATAATTATTTAGAATAATAAAATGAATATAATGCTTTTTAGCAGAGATTAGTGTTGAATCTTTAAAATCTATTTGATAGTGCTATTACAGCGAACCACTTTAACTTAGAAGAAAGCTTGTGGCAGCAGTTAGTAATAATAATCCTTTATTGAGTAAGTAAATACGTACATGTGAAATGTCCCCTTATTAAATGCTTGCCTTGTGAAATATTCTGTGTGCCGTGAAATATTCCTGTCCTGTGAAATATACCCTCAACAATATCAAATTGTAATTGATTTTTCATTGTCCATTTTTTTTGAAAAACTAAACTGAAACTTTTAGGCTTAATCTACTTCCATAGAGTCCATTACGTTATCGTTTGTGCTTCTACAATTAGTTTTTCCTCTTTCTTTCTTATCTTTTTTTTTTTAAAAAAGAACCATTTTTTCTAATAAATAATTATTTCGAATAATAAAAGGAATATCATACTTTTTATTAGAAATAAGTTTTCATTCTTTCTCTTTCATTTTTTCCAAGAACCATTTTCTCTAATAGATAATAATATAGAATAACAAAATACAATGTTAACCTGATAAAGAACTTAAGAATTAAAAAAATAATGTGTCATATCTGGAATTTTAACAACCATTGCACGCTTTTTTTTAGTAGTTAATTTATGTGAATAAATTTCGAAATCTTTGAATCAATAAAAAAAAAAGAATTTATTCCTACACATTAGTAATAAGCCATTGTGAAAAAAAGTAGAAGGAAGAACAAAATAGTTGAAAAAATAGAAAAGAGAGAGATAAATATTAATCAAAAACCGAGAAAAGAGAATTATCAAATAATTATTTAACGAATAACTTCATAAAATGGTGGAAGCATGATTAAAAAAATATTTATCGTAAAAAAGTTTTTCAAAAACCGGTTGTTAGAAAAAAATCGTTTTATTTAAATTCGAATCTATGTAAAAAACTGAAACTTTTTAACAGACAGACGGTGTGTGTAGCTGGTGAAAGTTCACACCAACAGAAGGGAATTAAGATTTGCAAACGATACAGCAAATTCAGATTTTTTTTTTCAAAATAAAAAGGTTATATTATATTTATTATTTCCCATGACTTTCACCTGCGAGTATCAGAAATTTCAACAGATGTGAGGGAGGGGGGAATTGTGAGACTATACGATGTAAAAAAAGTTCGAGATACTTTCCCATACGCCACGAGGTCTATGAATAAACCAATTATTATGCTATTCATAGGGCCACGTGCTTTGGTAGCCCCCATGTTTTGAGGGTTACCAACACTTACGTCGTGCTGACGAACGTGATTCAATTATTGTATTACACTTATCATAATAGTTTCCTTCCTTTTTCGTACGGAGAGCGGCGGTCTGAGTACAAAAGCACTCCTGCACCCTTTATGTCTGCCAGTTTCGTTGCGCGAATCTGTTTTATATAGGTTAGCTAACTCCACAACTTTATACAATTGAAAAGACTTACTATAAAAGCGAAATTTAAAGAGATGCAGAAAAATTATAAATATTTTTGTATATATTTTTGTAACCTCCGTATTACGAACCTCTATATTGCGAATTTTTCTATATAGCGAACTCTTTTCTGGAACCAAGAACCTTTCACGATTTTCTTCATAAAATAGCCTCCCAATAGCGAAATGTATTTTCTATATAACGAACTTTTTCTCTTGTGATTCAAATTTTTTCTCTCTATTTTTAAAGTATTTCTGGACATTTCAAGTTATTCTCTCTTTTAATACGTTTTAGTAGTTTAACTATAAAATAATGTGTTTAAAATTACTTGTATACTTTAAATTAGAAAATATCCTTAAAATTCATTAATCTTAATATAAAATTATTTTCTTAAAGTTGAAAATACAGTGTATTCCTCTACATTCTTTTTTCTTGTTTTCCCTGCAGTTTTTCTTTTTTTGATGGGTAATATATATATATGTAAAATAAATAGATATTAATTTACCAAAGGTGTGAATAATTATTTTTTTCAATGCATAGTGTTTGTGAATTTAAAATTTGTTTTATGTGGTTTATATAAAGTATATTGAAAGGTGAACCTCTATATAACGAATTTTCCATATAAAGAACTTTTTTTCAGGATTTAGCGACTTCGTTAAATAGAGGGTCCGACAGTAATTATATCTTTATATACAATGCATAAACACTTTTATGGGGAAAACTATTTTTCTCTGCCTTTTTCATTTTAAATTTTAGTCATTTCTTTGTTAGAGTACAGAAGAAAACAGAGAAAATAAATTGATTTAATCAAAAATATTTTGTTTGAGAGCAGTGAAACTGAATATTCAATGATGTTATGAATTGATCGAGATTTATATTAAGGCAATTGCTCTAGATATGTATTAGTATTTAAAAAGATAATTTTATACTATGAGAATACAATATTGAATTGATATCAAAATATTCTCACGGTTTAATAGGAAAATATAAACATTACTATCTTTGAGTACATACAATTGAAGAATTTTTTTTTATGATACAATCAAAATTAAAGCAACTAATGAAAAAAAATTAAACTTAAATGCTGATTGGTTTGAGTGTTGGTTATCTTCGTATTTGATTATTATCTAACGTAATGAATATATTTTAATAATTAAAACAGAAAATCACACCCACACAAAATAATCTGGAATAAAAAACACAAATAAAATTCATCGATTTTTTATTTTAAATTTCCATTGTGAATTAAGAATAGTAAAAAAAAATCATGTCAGAAACTTGTTTTATCAAAATAATTTTTTAAAATTGTGTTATTAAATAATATACTTTCAAGAAAAAAGGTTTTCAATTAAATCATAAGATACCAGTAGAGTTTGATACAAACTACTTGCATATATATATGTGTGTGTTAAAAACATTTTTAAGAAATAATTCTTATTATTTTTTTCATTAATATTGCACATTTTAAGGCACACATTACATAAAGACACATCCCGCACGCCCGCGACCAGCATTAATTTCCTAAATTTTATGCTTACATATTTAAATTAAAGTTTTAAATTAAACAAATCCCAAAAAACAAAAAAATTCCGCTAATTCAAATCAAAGCAAATGAATCGATTATAACAGGGTTTGAATATTATTAGTACTTCAGGTATAAAATGTTTTATATAAAATGAGATAGATTAAAATTAATACCTTGGAAGTTTTCCCCAAGGTACTTTGTCCTTTTTAAAAATATTGTATTAAGATATTAGAAACTTTTTTAGTGCAAGATATATTTTAAGATATATATACACGAAAGAATGATTTCAACTTTTGACAGTATTCGACTATAATATATACTTATTATGTCATCCCATAGATGGCAGCACCATTATTTTTCGCCATTATATTAATTCATGACAAAAATACATCTTGTTAATTTGTAAGTTTTCAGGAATATTTTTTTAAGACAAAAATAATTTTTTTTATTATTATTATCGAAGGGTAATTGGACTTATACAACTCGTGGTGATTTTAATATTTGGATTAAGAAATGCAATTTTTTTTCAGGAAAGAAATCGCATTACCTCAAAATACAGAATTCCAACAGTTTAATATATATTTCAGCTTAAATCTAATTAATCAAATTTTCACACACGTGAAGTCTTTAGAATCTTTTAAATGTGTTGCAGTCCTTAACATCTCTAACGATAATTTGCGATTAAAGTGATTCCCAAACACAAGCTATTCTTATTCCCGACTACGTAACAAACTTTACTCTCTTAATCATATCAAGAAAGATTGATTGAATA